CTCTCTCAGCTCTATCTGTCTCTCCTCTCTCTCTCTCTCTCTCCCTCTCTCTCTCTCTCTCCCTCCCTCCCTCCCTCCCTCCCTCCCTCCCTCCCTCCCTCCCTCGCTCGCTCGCTCGCTCGCTCGCTCGCTCGCTCGCTCTCTCTCTCTCTCTCTCTCACTCCCTCTCCCTGCCTCCCTCGCGCTCTCTCCCTCTCTCTCGCTCTCTCTCCTTCTTTCTCACTCAGGCTTGGAAGCCATGCCATGGAACAGTTCGGCATTCTTCGCCTTGTCGTGTCCCCTGTACACTGAACATGCAGACACGTCGTAACAACGATGAAAGACTTCGGCGTAGGGGGGGTCCCTATCGAAACAGGATCACCCCGAAGAGTACAGCCGTTTAATAAGAGCGCCGCCATCAGCACACAGTAATCCCCAGCTAGCGCAGGAAGACTTCAGACGCGCTCGCATCGAGGATGACATCTTCGCGCACACAGTCCCTCAAACTCGTACTAGCCGTTGGCGCACTGGGGGGTTGGGAATGCCCAGAAGCTTTAGGGGTTTTGAGTCGACTGCACAGGTGCTTTTCAGAGCATCGCAGAAACAGCCCATTTTGTTGTTGGACTATTTCTGTAAAGCTACACAAATTTCGGAGTTTGGAGTTTGACTGAAAATCCCGCGCACTGCTCCCTCCTGCTTTTCTCCGGAAGCCTCAGCCCAATTTGCGAATATTTCGCGACAACCCCAGGCTGCTGTGGATGCTTGTGGGCGAAGCTCAGAGGTTGCACGTGCTTTGCAGCTTTTCGCGTCGATGGAAGGCGGGAAAATCCCGGATTAAGGTCGGAGAATCTGGGATTGTGTGGTGAACAGGAACTGGTATGATATGCTATTAAAAGGTTCCCACAGGTCTGAAATTCGCTTCAAGAAGTTTAGCATCGTATTTCCTTTGAAGGGAGTGGCTTGCAGCTCTCTGGAGAAAAGAACAAGCAAACCAAGTCAGCAAGAACGGGCGGATGCATATACAAGCCCTGTATAAACCCAGATCCAGTATGCACTTCAGGAAAGACAGCATCGCCATTATAATTTGGCAGCCTTCCTGCTGGGTGCTGCTAGTGATGGATTTCCTGCTTCAACCATTGATATTGAAGTGCTTGCGCGAGTCGTTTTCGCTTGACATTTTGTGAAGCTTGTGTTGAAATGTTTAGTGCAATTTATATAATCCAAGCTTCCCGGTTTCTCGAAAGTCCAAGTGTGGGCGTTACGCGTAAGCCCTGCAACAGCATTGTCTCCTTTCTGCATGGCATCGACCCTAGATGTCTTACGCCTCACAAACTCCTCAAATCTGTGTTGGACAGGCCGGCAGCTGCTTGCTGACGAGTCGGCATTCAATGTTGCAGTGGCGGCCTGTGAGAACCTCATCTCTTTTTGGCTGGTCTTGTGTGCGACCCCATGCTTGCATGTTATTGGCCGTGTCTGAGCTTCGGGTGGATGCTCCCAGGATGCAAATATTTCTTAACCAACCATCTTCGGTGTTATCATATTCCGGGTCCACATCCGGTGGCTGACTTCTCTCGAACTTTGGCGTCTCGAAACTCTAGAACCAGATGATCGGTGGGGAAGGTGATCAAAGCCGTGCTAACGTTGATTGGTGCTGAGGAAAGCTGAGAAGCTCAAGCACGCAGTGGTCAAAAGCTGCGCAACAGCATGATTGCTGAGCATGCTGGGATAGGGAATCGGGGTTCCACCAAACTGTGCATGCCTGTCGAGTCTAGCGTCTCTCTGCACAGACCCCTATGATCCCCCGTGTGGCCTTTCCAATTTCTATCGCCAGGGCGCCCCAACTCGGTCGTAGACTCACGCCTTCATCGGCAGGGTCCCCTGCAGGGAGCCCCACAAGTAAAGACGTGTCCTTGCTTCCGCAGGACCTTCTGGCGAACATCAACTCGTGGCGCCAGGCCCGCATGGGGGGGATTCGGTACCATTCGACTTCTTGGAAGTGCGGAAAGCCGTTGAAATGGCCGTGAGAACAGATGAGGAGTTGCGTGAGATCTTGGTCGTAAGGTCCCCTCCCAGGGATAGCATTGGCCTTTGCAGGGGTTAAGACGCCAGATGAGGTCTGATGTGTATACGGTGAGTTCGGAACAACGAATTCTATATAGCGAATCGCTCCGACGCACAATCATCCAACATGCACTGCCTTCCCGGAAAATACACATAAGTGTCGATAATGTGGCCACAACTTTCTACACAAGCTGTATAAGTGAAGCCTGAATGCACTGGCCCAACTTGCCAGCTTGCGGCACGAAATAGAGAGATGTCTGGTCTTCGAAGAAGTCACCAAACACGCAAGCTCACAAATAAAAGCTCGTTCATCTACCGCCACAGACTCCATGAGCAGACTGGTAGAGCCTAGCGCCGGTGTAAGCTCGTAAGGATCATCGGGTGAGTCATGTAAGAAGGTGCTGGTCCCTCATTGCAAAACCGCAAAGAACTTGTCTGAAAGGCTCTACTTCGGAGACCGCTACAAGGCCGGGGCGCTCTGCATCGTCAGCTTTGAGTTTCTGGGTTCCCGAACGGTCATGCTGCTGATGATGGATTATGAAGCGTCTTGTATTGGGCCTACCTACCTACCTGCCTCCCTGAACGGCTATGTGCAAGTCTCTGCTGCGTCCTTGCCTACCTCCCCTACCTACGTAGGTAGGTACCCACTACCTGCCTACCTGCCTGCCTGCCTACCTATCTACCTACCCACCTGCCCACCTACCCACCTACCCACCTACC